CATTGAGCGACCCACGTGGGCTTCATCAAGCACTACCTCATTTGATTTCTTTTCCTTCCACGATACTCTTAGCAGTCTCCTAAGAAACCACATTTCTGTTGCCTCTGTTGAATACACAGCTCTCACAAAATTAACCAAGACCATGTGTGCCCCTAGTATCTAGTACTTTTGTTAACACAGTGCTGGTACTAAAGCAATAAAGTAGAACTTACGGAGGCAATAGAAACATAAAGAACTCATGAGGCTGGAAAAATTTCGGCAGGTCATCGGCGATCCCAGAAAAGCTGAGAAAAAAAAAAGATTAGAAAATGCGAAATAGACAACATGAGAGTCTAAAATTATTTTTCTTTTCAATGCACACAAATATTATTTTTTATCTCACCCTGACAGACTTTAACACCTTCTTTCTTGTACTGTTTTTGTGCTAGTCATCTCATTAATATGCATTCACATAGCATAAACCACACATCTGGTAAACACACAGGCATTCCTGGTTCACTTAACTCTACTTTGATCTCTCAAGCATTTATGGAAAAATATGTAGTCACAGCACACAGTCATTCATACCCCTCACTAAAATACTATACACAAACAAAGCAGATTAACAACAAAAGTTAAGATAAAAACGATGTAAAGAAGAAAAAAAAAACAGATTAAATAGATGTAGCAAAAACAGATTAAATAGATGTAGCAAGGCTTACAGAAACAAAAAACCCCCAGATTAAATAGATGTAGCAAGGCTTACAGAAACCCCAAAAAAACGAAGGAAGAACCAGTGATCATCAAGATAAAACTTACTGCACGAGGGCACCAAACGCTGTTCCAAGGATGATAAGAATGCTGAAACGGATGAAGTGAATTGTTTTAAAAATAAACACACTTCAAGAACACATGAGGAGAAACAATCTCATTGCTTAATGACTCTACTGTGCAGCATGGGTTTACCAATTTACCACTCATTTCGACACAGCAGGGCTATTGAACCTGTTGGACCTGGTAAACTTCCTTTATCCGTAATAATTTAATAACAACCGCATTAATTATATGTGCCCATATCTATGCTCTACAGGATACTCTATGCGCTTCACAATTATTATTACCTCAGGAAATCCTAGAACGCTCAGAAACATTCTGCGCTTTTCAGGAAGCATACGGTGTAAGCAGCTAATTAGGTGTTCAAACACTAACAAACTGATAAGATATTTCGCTGTCTACACCCTTCTGTGCGCTGAACGCTGCATATATCTCTGCACACAGTGGTGTGTGCATCTAGCTGTTAATACACAAGTGCACCGGTCAGGTGAAAGAGGTAGGGGGTGGGGGGTTAAAAAGTGTAAGGAGCCATGACCTCAGATCATCTGTCTCCAATAGACCCAGCCAAGAGGGTTGACAGCCATGAAAATCCCCAAAATAATCCAGTTCAAGAATGACACGACACAATTGAAAACTAAAACTAAAACTAAAACACATCATGAGTTTAAATATTTTTTTCTCATTCTGATGTTCATTCTATTATATTCTATAGAGTGCACCTAATAACTAAATCAGACGCTTTGTAGTTCGACAGCAGGAGGCAGGTACAACTAATATCAGATATCGTTGTCACAAAATAGAAATAATAGCTACCATTGGTACTCAATTTACAGCCTGAGGGTCCTGAGCTGACATGCTGCAGCTGGCAGGATCATAAAAAAAAAAATCACACAAACATTCAAGTGTTGATCTCAGCGGCTCATTATACATTATAATGTCCACCGTGCCTGCTTCACTCTCAGTATAAACAGCAACAGGAGAAGCACAGAACAAAAGAAGAAGCAGAAAAAGTCCCGGCAGGGATTAAAATAAAAAACAACATGCACCATTCCTGTCATATCTTAACATAGGTGATTAACATCATATGCTTACTCACTCTCTCACCCACCCACTCACTCTAATTCACACTCACACACAAACACACACTCAAACACACACACATACACTCACTACAATAAATGTACATACACACATATTCAAATATTGCTGCTGACTGTTACGTTCTTGGCTATGCTTATAGCTTGACCGAATAATTATAAAATGTGCTCACAAACAAGCACAAGACCTCAGTGAGAATGAGTAGTAACGGAAGTTATCCTTTATTATCAAAAAGGTCACGTTACAGCCTTGAGGCGTTATAACATAGTTGGTCAGTTAAGTCCAAGCTATAGATGTACACACAGGACACTGACAACCTCTCAGACTCAATTATTCACTTCACACCATAAGCATCTCAACACAATAAAATTCACAAGGTCAAAAAATAGAAAAAGAGAACAGTGGTAACGTCCAAATAAAACCACTGTCAACCTGTTATATCTTTTTTTTTATCCCCAAAATGTCCAACTCACTGACACATTCATTATACCATTAAAACAAAAGTTCAGCAAGTTAAAGAATTTGTTACCAAGGCTAAGAATTGTCAGGCTAAAGGCAGTCTCACAACAAATCAATAGCTGAACACAAGACCCCAATGAATCCCATTGTCTTATAAGGCTTTTGTCTTGAGCGTCTTGCACCAAGCCATCAAAACGTAGAGAGACTGTAACAAATAAACTGAAACAGCTGAAACAGACTTAAATGTTTACTCACCATGACTCCGGAATTTTGCTGGACAGAAAGTTGGCATGGTGATACCCTGAGGGGGAAGGAAATTTTCATTTTGTTCATTTTCAATGAATACAATGGCATGGTCACTATAAAGATTATGATTAACAGTAAATTTTCCATTGAAGCAATTTAGCTCAGACTATAAATAAAAACAAATAAGTACAAAAAAAGTTTGTTAAGTGCATGGATGAGACAGAGACTGACAGAACACTGCAGCCAAAATATAAACAATCAAAGTTTTAAAGTAAAGTCTTTTTGTACATACTCTGTTGACAAGATATCGCTACTTCAGAATGACAAAGTTCTATCTGACATTTTTGGTCGTTTTGAGTTACTAAGACCATGAGATCAGAAATCAAATGCTTTATTTCCTCCATCAACATCGTAATGTTTTTCTGAGAAGTTATCAAGATATCCAAAGAATTGCATTAAAAAAGCTCGACATATTGAGACTTGAGACACTCAAAATCTTTGACGTCAAATTTATCAAAACTAGGTACTGAGCTGATAGAACTTTGTAATTCAGATTCTGAGGTAGCCGTATGTAAGCATCATTTTTTTAAAGTGTAAAAAAAACATGCATTAACCTTAATTGAACCTACTCAGTGCAGATGGTAAAAGTCTCACAAAAAGTGTCAGCCCAAGTGTCAACATCTGGTACATTCAAAAAGATGCACATGAGTCAGGTTTAATGCTTTTAACCAGCTGCAATGCCAACCAAATAAAGATTGCTTCGTTTACTTGTGCTCACATTAACACATATATATACTGCCACTGTTGTAGCCTAAATAGAATTAGCTGGCAAGAGACAATGCGGGGACATCCGTCTTTTTCCTCTGCACTGAATAGGTTCCCACAAAACAACAAAAACTATCCTCATGATCCATACCAATTTTACTGAGCGCAGCCACCAGCACAACAATGGTGAGGACGAGAGGATCTCGCACTTCGTGGTAGTTCAAGTCCGCCACCGTCAGGCCCTTATTATGATGGCCATGTCCCCCATCTTCACTGTGATGGGACTTGTTTCCATGATGATCATCGTCCGTCCCATTCGCGTGATGAGGAGCTGATTCATGGCTCAAACTGGGGGAGGCCACTCCATCCGTGATGACAGGGACATCGTCTCCACGTGCTTCCGTTGCAAGTACAAAAATAGCCAAGACGAGGCACAGCCCAGGTGAAAGTCTATTCCCTGCTGGGCCAGAATGCGAATATCCAATTTTTCTCCTCTTCATGGTCACCATCAAGAGTTCTGAGTGAAGACTGTGTGGAAGCTCAGTCAAGGTTCACTATAAATATAAAAATACACAAAATTTAATTTAAAATATGTAACATAACAGGTAATCCTTCAATAATTCATTAATAAAAATTCATAAAGTCATACCAGATAAGTGGTGAATTGACCAAGAAAGGCAGGGTCTCTTTAGTTTTAGTAAGAGTTTTACGGCACTTGCAACACAATAAGGTCATATAAGTGCCGAAGAATAGATGTGTTACATGAGAGGAACATACACAAAAAAGGAGGAGGGATAAGGACGATAGATGTTAGATAGGAAAGAAGGAGCAAACCACACCAGAGCACCCGCCAACTACCCACAAGGCAGGGTCTATGACCTTCCATGACAATTCTTGAACAAAAGAATCCCTGACATGTCATTTTGTTTCTATTCTGAAAATGAAATTTAATTTCAGTCAAACCTGAGTAAAACGGCCACCCATTGTCATGGAGAAAAGTGGCCGCATAACACAGGTGGCTGTCTCAGGCAGGACAGATCGAAAGCAAATCCTTCTCTTCTGAGGTCCAAACCGGGATCAGAGGATGAGGACTGCTGTAGGGCTGATTCAAAAGGGTTTTTGTTTTCTTTGAAAAAGGCGGGCAGTTTGAGTAAGAAGGGTATTTTGTGTTGTTTTGTTAGGTTGTTTTTTTTTTTGGTTAGGTTTCTTTTTGTTTCTGATTTTGTGCAAGGGTAAAATAAACAAAATATTATGTAAGTAAGAGGATGAAGACTGAGTACCATGGTTAAACAAACACACGGGTCGCCACCACTCGGAGAACGAGGGACACGTCTGTCGCAAGTTCACGTCAACATCCATTGTAACTTAGTTACAGATTAGGTAAATAAAACAGTGACCATCACCTCACACACGATTTGTGCATGAGTTCTGGGTGGGGCTTATATGTTTCTGTGGATCACACTTCCCTCACCAGTAGTTGAAAATTTATTGTCAGGCCTACCCATTGGTCAACTTGAGTAAATATTCATAGGAGGGACTAACAATAACGACAGGTGAATGAATTATGACGGCCCGTCCACAGCGCGGAGGGCCGAATCAAAATTTATGACAAAGCATCTGGCAAAGAGTGACCACGTCTGGCCACCTGGGGCAGGTAAATTTGACAGTGGATTGATAAAATGTATAAGGTGGCCACGGTCGCGTTGGACAGGTGACCGTTTTACACAGTTAAATTATATAGAAAAGACGCAAGGGGGAAATGGAAAGGGACCGTTTGTACCGGTGGCCGTATAAAACAGGTGGTCGTCAAGGCAGGTTCATCTGCACTTTGGAAAAGAAGGCGTGCAAGCCAACTTTAATCATAATTAAGATGGCACACGATAGAAGTGTGAAGTTGAAAATGTGAATCCCTGTGATCTACAAATATAGCAATAACCTGTTCAGAAGAACCATGACCCAGCCAAACAAAGACAGAACTTTATCTAAGACTTAAGCTCCGCCAGTTGAAATTCCAATTTAATCTTAAGTGTTCATACTTTTTTTCCCCATAAGAAAGAAAAACAAATATGAGTTGTTATTTTATAACAAAAGCTGAAGCATAGATTAGACACCTGCAATTTTTATGCATTATAGTGGGGTGTTCGTTCTAATGATCATATGAGATTCAACAAGTTTTAAAGTGTAGTTTCCTTCAAATTAGGTGGAATTTTTGTCTTAGTTAGGAAAACAAGGACCATGTTTTTTTGCAGATATAGCCTTAGTTTTGAATTTCGGCAGGGGTTAAAAATGCAGTGACCTCAGAGTCTCCTCTTGTACGTTTGAACGATGTAAAAGGGGAGCAGGTTTTGGGCTTGGAGGAGGGACAGCCAAACTGTTTTTAAAAAAGACTGCAAGACTGAAAGCCTGCAAGAAAAATGGCAGACTTTCACCTGGTAAAGAGCTCTTTCGCTTAAATAGCTTTAGGTTGAAGCAGTGAAGTAGCTCACAACATGCTTATTGAGGACTGTCTCTCGTTTACCTGTTGACATTGTTCTTTGTACCATCCAGTGGTTTGTTATCTGCTAATTTGATTCAGAATTGTAAATCAATTGTCTTAAAAAATGCAAGCAAGAGGAGAAGGCGGAAGTAGTTGTTTGTACAGGTGAAACTTAAATGGGTGATCATTAGAGCAGGTGTGACGGTAATTAACACTTTCAGTGCCAAGCTTGCTACACAGTCCTGCCAAAGATCTCTAAGACAATCTCAGGTCAGGCACTGAAGAGGTTAAAATCTTGCTGGTTCTTCCCTCCATAGCACAAGACTACCACTTACTACAAGTACGTCTCAGAAGACTTGTACAAGAAGCAATCTGTAACTTGAGTTGACAGAACAAAAGTGCCTTTATTATCAAGACCATTGGAAGTTTTTAAAAATGTGACTTGAGTTTTGCTACCAACTCATTCAGTTTTATCACGCCTTGAACTTTATAATAAAAAATACTGCTACTAGGCTTTTTCAACTGAGGTCAAGAGAGACAATGATGAATTATCGCAAGGGAGACAAGGATGAATTATCGCTAAGTAGAACACTAATGTAGCAATTTGACTAACTGCAGAAAAAAAGTCTTCTCCTTCTTTCTCAAGGACCCCATGATTCCTATAGTTGACTTACAAAACGCCTTTTTTTTTTTACTTAAGTGCCAAAATGTTATATACTGTTATGTTTTCAAACACCAATAACTCTGTAACAGAAAAGCCATGCAAAATTTCAAGGGCATATATAGAGGTAAATTCCTCAATGAGCAAGATTCTTTTTACGCGGTAAGACGAAAGTGAATGCAAACAGGCCAATCTAATTGCAAAACATCAAACTAAGGCAACAGGCTGGGGGAGCTGTTCATGCACCCTCTGAAACCTCACATATTTTTTAAAATACACTATAAAAGTATGTTATAATGCACATAGTGACAGTTCCAACAAAAACCAAAATATTTGCAAATTTATTCATTTGTGGTGGGTAGGAAATTAGGGGGTTTTTTTTACTCATGCACCCGTCTCAAGTACACGTTTTGTTTGCTTTTTTTCTAGTAGTATTTTGCATGCTGAACACGAGTATATCGCCTTCATTTTTGCTGCAAATCAATAGTTATAGAGTCATGTTTCAAAACATAACAGTAATATTTGACTTCATTTTAACAACATAGAGGGTTTCAGGGGGAGCATGCCCCCCTGCATTTCACAATAATTTGATGTTTTGGTAATTAAGATTGATATTTACTGTTGATTTTCAAGGGTTATAGTGGCCATACGTGTGTTCTGTAGCAAAAATTATGGCAGTTTAGCCCTAAAATCAATGCATCTGTGTAAGGGTGCATAAAAGTAAAAATTTACCGAAGTCATGAATGAAGGCCTAGCCTATTTATAGAAAAAAGTTTGAAAAGACAAGAAAGTTTATAATATATATATAATTCGGAGAAATAGTGCTGATCTTTATTTCTCCAAACGCTTTCCAGCTTCCGGTCTCGGGATTTTTTGCCTCTATGCGAGAGTTAGGCGCCAACTTTCATTCTGCCTCTGGTCTGGGAAGGAACACTGCATGGCAAGCCTCCCTACATACAATCTTAAGTAACACCCACCACACACCCACCACCATAATGCACATGTACACACACAAACTTATACACACATTAACTAAACTTGATCAGTGGGCAACTTTTGAACGTAAGACGAGCTGAGCTGTGGATGGAGAGACAGTGTGAGTGAAAGAGCGGGTGAAAGGAAGAATGTACGAATGTATCCACAGGCGACAGCAACTACAAGACGATGACACCACACCGACCCCCTGGCCTGGTCCACAGCTCACGAACGAAAGGAATGTGGCTAAGGCTGTGTTTTGCCTATATTATTGTCCAGGGTTCGCAGGGTGCAAGATATAAATCTATATATATCTTTCCCACCAGATTCAAGGTCTCACATTCAAGCCAAATCAAGCTGATGCCTTTCTGCTCACCCATTACAATTCTAGTCTAGGCCTCCCTGCCAGTTGTTAATCACTTTAGGTTAGGCTACTTGTGTGACTCACACTGACTAACATCACTTGTGACTGTCAGGTGAGTATGCAATAATTGTTGTGTCCAGTAGTCTAGTCTAGATAGATATAATATTAATATATATATTAGATCTAGATATTCTAGAATTTAGACTCTAAATCTAGATTGAAATTATTTTAAAATCAAACTAAAGCGAACATCTAGAGATCTAGATCTAGATCTAATATCTAGAGTCTACTCTAGATCTAGATCTAGATTCTAGTTAGCAGTAGCCTAACTCTCCACCAACTAGAAATCTCGCCTACCAACCAGTGACTACAGTAGTCTGTACTGCAGACTACAGCAAGACCTGTCAAAACTACTGGAATGCAAATGATGTGCTGTACAGTCACAACAGAAAAGTAGAAACCCTTTCTAGATTCTAGGCCTACCTCTTACCTGCTTGCAACAGCTCTCTCAACCTAAAGTAGGCCTTCAGTTGTGCAGTCTATTGCGGCTCCCGTCCTACTTTCAGTCTCTCCACTTCATCAGGTGCAAGTGCCTGTTCCATTCGTTTCGACCGACGCCTTCCTCTTGCGGCTTCCTGTATTCCCAGATTTATTGCTGTTTTCGGCGTCTAGCCAAACCAGCTCTCTGGCCAAACATTGATTTTTTACTACTGATGCTTTCTGAAAATGGAGATTTAATGTGAGGTTGTTGGTTGTTGTTGTTGTTGTTGTTGGGGTTTTTTTTGGGGGGGGGTTGTTGTGTTGTTGTTGTTTTTGTTTTTTTGGGGGGTGCTTAATTGTTTGACTTGAACGAAATTGTTAATTTCCTCTCCTTAGAGCTTCTGGGTATAGATCTAGGAATGGTGGTTAAATAGTGGGATTCTAGTAAGTGAACTTTATCAACTTCCGTATCACACATTCCTCATTTAATTTACGTTGAAAAAATACTCACGGAAAAAAGAAAGAGTGCATATAGAAATCAAATATTATACATGTACTTGCGAACCAATTATCTATAGAGAATCCATTCCTTTTATAGACAACACACACATCAAGGAAGAAGTCATGAGGATAAAGAATTTTCATTGAAGTGTGTTAATTTTTGTACAGAAGTATCCAATCACAAGTTGAGCCCCCCCCCCCAAATTCGGCACCGCCTGAGCCCTCCGCGGCACTGATGACTGACACCGTCGACGCAGGGAAAAGAACAGTTCTTGGATAAACTGCTCAGGGTAATATGTTACTTATAGATCCTTAATCTAGCGATTGCCTAAGTTCATATCTAATATTTGGGGCTGATCAGTTAAATCGCGCAGAGATTGGTCTTTACTCGGGGACATTACGTACAACCGTTATATAAATATGCAGGACACGGTCTGTTCTGGAGATGAACGCGGTGGATGTGTCGGTCTTGTCTCTGCTTTGAGATCCGAGGCCGATCACTTTCAGATCTATCATCCGTCGTTCTATTCACCCGGCAGACATAATATGCCCACACACGTCCAATGCTGTTTCTGTGAATGTTGAGCCTTTGAGCCACTTCTCACTGTGTACTTCCAGCCAGGAGCATTCTTAACGCTCGCCTTCTATCATTTTCCGAGAGATATGTGGGCCGTTTTAAAAGCAGAAATATTGCAGTATCTTTATTATGATTCTCGACACAAACAGAAGTAAATGAAGTGTTTTAGACTCAGATTCAGAACACGTGTACAAACAGTCGCATTATAAGGCCTTTGAATAAATTGTGATCGATTTTGTAAGGAGACAGAGTATACATTGAAGCAGGCACTGGAAGGACAAATGGCACATATTTAGAGGAGAGATCTAGATTTTGCGGATGACATCCTCCTATTAAACACCACAGTACATGAAATGCAATCAAAAACAGACGAACTTGCGAAAGTTGCGGGAAAAGTTGGTTTTATCATAAATGTATCCAAAACAGAAGTAGGCCTACTACGACTTTCATCAAAAACTACGCCCATCACTCTTTATGGAAAAACCCTTGCAGAAATTAGTAAAATCAAGTACCTTGACTTGGCAGCATTATTTTCAAAACTGCAGATTGCCTTGACGACGTCCACTAACGATTTAAAAATACATAGGTCGCTTTTGTGAAACTAAAACTATGGAAGTCAAAGATAATTTCATTAAAGACGAAATTTAAAATATATAATAGCAATATTTTGGCTGTATTGATGGAAAACAAACAAAACAAACAAAACAATTCAACGAAAAATAAAAAGCTTCCAAACAAAACGCATACGAAGAATTTTACTAATAAAATGGAATTGATTCATTACAATAATAAAGTGTTGGAAAGAGCTGGAATTGAAGATATCAACACAACAATAAAAAATTTAAAAAAGAGAGAGAAGATGGAGATATCTGGGACATGTTCTGAGAATGCCGAAGACGAGATTGCCCTATCACACATCAGACATGACATTGGAATCCAACTGGAAAGAGAAAGCGTGGAAGACCAACTGGGAGCTATAGAGGCACCACAATGGATGAGGCAATCACCCAGGGCCTTTAAGATGTGCCAAAATTTGAGAAAGTGGCCCGGGACAGACAAGCGTGGCGTTGACTGCTCCCGCCTCATGTACCTGACGGTATAAGGAAAGAGAGTAAGTAAGTAAGTAAGAATGGATTATTAGCAAACCCAATAGAGTTGTCACTCTTGACATGCAATTTTTTCTGAACCTCATGCAAAATAGGAATACAACTTCAGCTTCCAGGCAAAATTTTGAGACAGCTGACCTTCAATTAATTAAGCTGTGGCTGTTTAAAGTATGCACTCTTTCTTTTTTTCTTGAGTATACGAAGAGGTCCTTTTATGCTTGGAAATGTTTTATCAATCATTGTTTGAGCTTTCTTTGAGACGGTCATGCTTACAATTTATAATAGCGAGAAGATGAAAATATTGTTATTCCTTTTCATGGATCTCTACTCAAATCTATTTCAAGCCTTCACAGCCACCTGGCTCCATTCCCTTTTCATTTTCATAGCCTTTTACATACAGCTGAAGACAATAATAGCAGCATGACTCATTAAGGTTAATTTGAATATTATGCAGAACTCTCGTCCCACTTTCACCAAAAAGAACGCCATAATCAAATGGCAAATACTCAATCTGGCTAACTCAGGGGAGTTGCTGTACTCGCTTAGTCGCTTCCGCGTTTTTGTTTGTTGTTGTTTTTTGTTGTTGGTTTTTTTGGGGTAGGCTAGGGTTGATACCTGATACTTGATACAGGACAGCTGACAACTTACAGTGGAAATTTCAGGAGGACCCAAAAAGGTTATAAATAGTTCCTAGCACAGGAGGACAAAGTGGAGTGTCCGTAAAGGAAAAAAAATACTGCTCTAAGAAAAGACTTGCGGTCGCTATCGTTTGAGATAATAATAATAAAGTAAATAAAATGAAATGCAAGCTTCAGTCACTGCTCACAGTTTGAAGAAGTAGGGCTCACACTGTCACTTTTATCAACGTTTAATGTAATTATTGTCTCTGCTAAGGGAAGCTCATCGCATTGTTGACGGCCGCACTGACGGGTATCTCCCTGAGGATGGGCGCATGGGGAGAGATTGCCAATATCGCTGAGTGCATCCGTTTAGAAAGGATGTAGCCAGTACCCTAACGGATGTGCGGCACGCCGGATAATATGGCCCTTGAGACTCATGAAATGAACGGACAATGCGTAGCCTACGCCGATTACATGAAAAACAGAGATCTGCGATGGAAGCAGTATAACTTGCAATTTTGCTGTCTAGTCTTGTCCAAAGTACGCAAGTTTGAAGTTGTGAATTTCAGATGAGGGGGTGAGAAAGTGTCTGCTTAAGAACAACGATAGACATTGTGCAATAATATTCGGTACTCTGAAGTTCCTTTTAACCCTGTCAAATTTAACCTGAAATCCCTGTGAGTGGTCTGAATGGGTTAACAAACGGCCCCAGGCCGGGTCCAATGGTCCAATGGACTGATGGAAGCATGACGTCCACAGAACCAAACCAAATGAAATAAAATATTATGGTTTGCAATAGAGTTGTTTTTGGTTGTTTTGTTTTTTAAATTTTAAAAAAAAATTGTTATAGGGGGGTGG